CCCCCTCTTGTGTGCTGTGAACCGTTGCTATGGGTTACCAGCTGCAGTTCCAGGTCAAGCCGCCTCATTTCCGCAGAGTCGTAAACAAGACTGTCAGCATCAAAGCAGCAGGAAGAAAATAAAGGCGCTATTGCAGAAAAGAGCAATACAAGTGGTCCCCCAGTCTGAGATAGAAAAAATTTGGTACAGCCGTTAGTTTGTTCAAAAAAAAAGGGGGGGGGGCTTCATCCCATCCACAACCTGTGAGTCTTGAACATGTATATACGAATGTACAAGGTCAAGATGCTAACACTCAGACAGCTCTTGAATGCAGTTGGTTCGGGAGATTGGTTTGCAACAATCGATCTAACAGATGCTTATTTTCATATGGCTATACACCCGAACTACAGGCAGTTTCTGAGGTTTGCATTCGAGGGCGTAGCCTACAAATACTTGGTGCTGCCTTTTGGGTTCTTGCTCGCTCCTTGCACCTTTGCGAAATGTGCCGAGGTGGCGCTAGCACCCCTCCGAGAGAGAGGCATCCGCATCTTAGCCTACCTAGACGACTGAACTCTCGTAGCTTGCTCCAGAGAGCAGGTGGAGACTCAGCTGTCACTGGTTTTGTCACACATTCACACACTGGGTTTCTCTGTGAACTTTCAGAGCTCGGTAATCCCGAGTCAGCAGATTTATTTCCTCGGTTTAGAAATATGCTTGCTATCCAGCCGCTCACGTTTCTCGGAGCATCGCTGCCTCATTCAGTTTCAGCTGGGACACAGACCGCATTTCCAGACGATATTAGGTTTGTTGGGCATGATGGCATCTATGATCGCCGTAGTGCCGCTTGGACTTTTAAAGATGAGTGTTTCAGTGCTGGACTCTCTCTCTCATTGCCTGTGGGCATCGTGTCACCTCGGGAGGAGGCATGCTAGCTCTCCGTCCCTGGAGGAAGCCCAGACTGTTGCATCAGGGCTCTTGGACTGGGAGGGTGTTGTTACGCTAGGTGGTGTCCACAGATGCTTCCCTAAGGGGGTAGGGAGCGCTGTGCGGTGCATCAGTGAGAGGGATCTGGTCCCCAGCCCGGTGCGAGCTGCACATCAACCACTTAGAGCTGTTAGCAGTGTTTTTAGCTCTCAAACATTTCCGTCCAGTCCTGGAGGGCCAACATGTCCTAGTCAGGACAGACAATTCAACAGTAGTCTCTTACATAAACAGGCATGGAGGAACACGCTCCTCTCAACTGTTGAAGCTGTCTCACTCTGCTGTTATGGTGCAGTGTTCATTTTCTGTCTCTTAAGAGCCATCCATGTTCTGGGTCACCTGAACTTGACCTGCCATACTCTCCCATTTCAGTGCTCTATCGTGGTTGTTTTGACATTCCTGCAGGAGCTGCTAGAGAAGGGCCTTTCATTTTCAACAAGCAGCTATATCTGCTTGTCATATTGGCTTTGACGGGATGACACCAGATGCACCTCCCCTTGCCTTACGTTTTCTGAAAGGGGTTCACCGGCTGAGACCCATGCTTAGGCCCAGTGTCCCTGCTCGGTGCTGGAGGCCCTTTGTGGCCAACACTTTGAACACATTGAGACTTTGGATATGAAATTTCTCTCATATAAGATGCATTACTTCTCGCTTTGGCTTCACCAAATACATGTCTGTGTATTGCGTTCAGATGGTGCCTATTTTCCCAAGATCATGCCTGCATCTTATATCTCAATGGAGTTTGAGTTGCTGAGCTTTTGCTCCCCTCCTTTTGCATCTGAGGAGCAGAGAGGGCTACATTGTCATTGTCCTGTGCGTGCGCTACGTACCTACATTGAGCATACTCAGAATGTGCGTTTATGTAACCAGCTGTTCATCTGTTTCGCTAGTCCAGCCAGAGGTAGAGTTCCACCAGGGGGATGGCAACTTCATGGGCTCTTTTGGGGTGCCTATAGCTGATATTTGTGCAGCAGCTAGTTGGGTATCACCACACACTTTTGTGCGGTTTTATTGGTTCGACATTAAAGCCCCTTCGGTGGCTCACACTGTCCTTTCTGCTGGGTCTACCGCACACTAAGGTGGTGGTGGTTCAATTCCAGTTCAGTGGCTGCTCTGCGGGGCATGTATATATCTTCCATACTTATGTGTTGCACCTCGCTCCTCTCCTTCAGGGAACAGAAGTTATAGACATAACTGCGCGTTCCCTTTCAGTTGATTCACTCGGTACAACACAAGGTGGCCCGACTGAGCAGTTTGGCTCGGTGAAGAGCGGCTATCAAACTGAGGGATGTCTGTTATGACAGCGGTTATATGTGCAGGCGGCGCTATACGCATGTCATCACGGGTCATCTGACTTAAAGGCGTGAATAAAGGTTTCCTCAGACAGGACACGTGAGGGCATGATATCCCATACTTATGTGTTGTACCTCGTTCCTCTCCTTCAAGGAACAGAAGTAATAGTGATAGGTTTGTAGCATAAACCTATTCGCTGGAACGTTAAGGACAATTTACTACACAGCAAAAGCAAGACACAAGTAGGCAAAGTTCTTTGTGTTACTCATGCATGAGGGAGGCCTGCCTGGAGCCAAGTGTCGTTCCACCCACTTGACCTCCGTCAGACTCTCAGCCATAGCACTTCTTTTATTGTGGTTACATGAATATACATAGGTTCATTAACATATGACGTCTACATACACACAAAGAGTACCTTGCCTGTGCATTGTGTAAGTGTGTGTGTATGTGTGTGTGTGTATGTGTGTGGGGTCAGTGTGTGGCCCATAAATGACTTCCCTAAACCTGCTGGTCTGGAAGTCCAGCAGATCATCTAAACAAAAGGCACTTAGACTTAAACAGATATACGTGCGTTTGTTATACCATATATCAGTAAGAGCAGATATAACCTCTCTCCTGACCTTAAGTTGTGTGTGCATGCCAGAGTGCTCTGGGAGGCACACAGAGTCTCCACAGACTACTAAGGATCAAACCTCTACCAACACGACATTGATTATAAAACTCTAAGCATATATGAGTAGATATTTCTAAGCATAAATGACAATCCACTATATAACCCTGACAAATAGACATAACTGTTTGCTTCACAAGCTATAAAATACAGGCTTTACAATCTGTGACTGTTTGATACTCAGCTTTAACTCCTTTTGTAGCTACTTTTGTTTTTTGTTTTTTTGCTGTATGGGAACAGCTTGAATACAGAAATCTGAACTGTGATCACCAAGTTTGGCCTTTTGTATGTCCAGATGGGACTATTGCAACTCTCTTTACTTGGGCCTCCAACTCTCCCTCCTTCAGCGCCTGCAAATAGTCCAAAATGTGGCAGCATGCCTCTTAACTGGCACTAGAAGGCATGAGCACATCACCCCTACCCTCGCTAACTTACACTGGCTTCCCATCAAATATCGCATTGATTTCAAAATCCTTCTGCTCACTTTTAAAATTCTAAATAACCTGGCCCCTAGCTACCTAAGTGATCTCCTTGATCTGTACAACCCAAAGAGAGCACCAAGATCCTCCAGCCAACTGCTCGTAATGCAGCCGAGGTCTTGTTTAAAAACCAGAGGTGACCGTGCCTTTGACATTACCTCCCCTAGACTCTGGAATAATCTCCCAGTTGATATCCGTAAATTGGAATCAACTCAGTTGTTCAAATCATGCTTAAAACACACCTGTTCAACTTGGGGATGGCAAGTGTCCTGCACTACACCATGCAATGTAATTTTAATTGTAACTGTACTACTTGTTCCTTGTTCTGCCCGCATTGCGGTACACTAGTCTTTCAAATGTGCTATAGAAATAAATTTTGACTTGACTTGACTTTTGTTTGTGGTGATCAGGGCTCACTACCCGGGTACCACCACAATAACAGAGGCCCTGAAGACACAGAAGAAGCTGTGGTCGTCAGAGGACTACAGCACCTTTAACAATGAGGTGGGAGGAGGTTGTTGGGCTCGTATCCTCAACCAGAACTATGTCAATGGACAAATGACTGCGTAAGTTAAAAAAAAAACAAGCAGTACATGCCAGCAAAAATATTAAGCATTACACAGAATGTTTTTAAATTTATTGAATTTTAATCAGTTTGATGGTAAGTTTATTTTTAGTTAGAATAAAGTGTAAACTTGGTGAATACATGCTTTGGACAGACTGTTAAGCCTTAATGTTGAACAATGTGGTTAATATGACTGTGATCCTTCCTCCAGCACAATCTCCTGGAATCTGGTGGCCAGTTATTATGAGGATCTCCCATTCGGCAGGGACGGGCTCATGACAGCTGAGGAGCCCTGGAGTGGCAACTATGTGGTCGAGTCTCCAATTTGGATCACGGGTCTGCATACAGAGACAGATAGTTTGAAAATGTGTTTCAGATCAACATAACATTTCTCATAATAGCAAAGTTATTAGAGAGTGTTCTGTTACTTATTTATCGCGGATCATAAAGGTCAGCAGTGTACTTTTAAATCCAGAAATCATGACACTAACCCTTAAGGTTCTGAGTAAATATAATTCATTATGTCACTGCATTTTTAGTGTTGACTGTGTGTTGCATACTGATGGGGTAGACTGCATGTAATTAGAAGACATCTCACTTGTCAGACAGATTTGATGGTTTGTCGAAAGTTTTGGCATGAAAGCAATTTGATTTTTTTTTTAGAAGTGAATTAGTTTGATAGTTGTTAGGTCTGGCTGAGTGATTGTTTTGTAACCCTTTGTTTTCAAATGTTTTCCTTGCAGCCCACACCACACAGTTCACCCAGCCAGGATGGACCTACCTGCAGACTGTTGGACATCTGGCACAAGGTGGAAGCTATATTGCCTTGACTGATGGGAAGGGAAATCTCACTGTTGTCATAGAAACAATGGTAAGTTAGTTACACACACACACACACACACACAGAGCAGGTAAAATAAGTACCGAACATGTCAATTTAATTTAATTTAGTTTTCATGTTTTTAAATATTAACATACTTTATAGTAATTCACTTTCAGTCTGGTGTACTCAGTGGCATCGAAATAATAATATCAGAATAGCCCCACCCAGGTTGGAGACAGAAACACTGGAAGAACATATGGGAGAAGGACGCAATAGATAACTACAGTGCTTAGTGACTAGTGGATCTAAGAGTTGACAACATGAGCCTCCCTGAACAGGATCCAGTAAGGATCCCCAGAAGGGACTGGTCTCATTCTGGCCAATAACAGGCCTCAACAACACATGGAAGCTCTTGTCAGGCCTCACAGCGGCTAAGATGAACAGGCACATGGCTGAATACATGAGCAGGGAACCAAGACCAGACTGACCAACTTGTGCACCACCTGGGTTGACTATAAGAAAGCCAATGCCAACTCAATGCCTCACACATGGATCCTGGAGTGGCTAGAAATGTACAACATGACTGACAACAGGACCCTAAAAGCCTTCATCAAGAACTCAATGAAGATGTACTATTGGCTTAAAGTTGGCCTCTACTTTTGTTCATTACAAGTCATGCCAAATACAAGCAGGGAGTCTTATCATCTTATCACTATGCGGAACAGAGCTTTAGTAAAACCATTTTAGCCGACTCTGTAGACACTTGTAGACAATGTTTGTTTGTGTGTGTGTGTAGCTCAAATACATAAAAATATATAGCTCAAACATACGAGCACTATCAGCCACATCCAGCTCTGCTTTCTAATGTTTGGAATGCTCCTTTTAACAAAGCTTTCTGTTTCCTTTATAGACTCACAATCATTCAGTGTGCATAAGACCTCCACTACCTCCCTTTAATGTAACATCCCAAAATGCAACTTTCTGGCTAAAGGGGTCTATTGTAAGTTCATGTTATCTTCTTGAATCTTGCTTAGAGTTTCTGACTTGTACATCTCTCATGTTCAAGATTATTTATTTCTTCTTAGGCATCCATTAAAGAGCTCCAAGTGTGGCGGTCACAGTTTGACTTTAAGACGAACAAGCCCTCCTTTTTTGAGAAACTAAAACCATTGAAGGTGCTGTTTACACTCTGAAGAAAGATGCACCTCAGTGATATGTGGGCACCAGTTTGTCAACTGTAACACTGTCTTTATATGACATTAGCTTGTAGATGGCTCGTTTACCCTGAATCTGGCTGAAGACGAGGTTTACACACTGACCACTGTTATCACAGGAAGCAAAGGCAGCTATCCCGACCCACCTCCCTCAGCTCGCTTTCCTAAAGTGTACAAGGATGACTTTGATGTTCGTAAGTTAACCATGTGCATGAACCAAAATCTCACCGAATTTTTTAACGTCCATTAAAATGACAGAAAATGTGACCTTTATTTTAAATCTGCTTCTGTGTATGTATAGGAAGGCCACCTTTTTCAGAAGCTCCATACTTTGCTGATCAGACAGGAGTGTTTGAGTACTACATTAACCTGACTGATCCTGGACCTCACGTTTTCACCTTAAGACAGGTTCTGACAGAAAGGCCCATCACATGGGCAACGGATGCTGATCAGACCATTAGTGTCATCGGAGACTATTACTGGTGAGTAGTCCTGTGACTACTATGATTACCTTAGTTGGGTTAGTCACTACTATCACTAACCCAACTAAAGTAATTCATGGGGTGTCTGTGGCTCAGAGGAGGTAGGCAGACACACAGACACAAAAATATATATATATATTTTTTCTCCACCCTGTTACATTATTTTATACAGGCAGAGCCTGACAGTGACATGTGACGTCTTCATGGAGAAGATGAATGCTGGTGGTGTATTCATAGCAGCCAGAGTGGATAAAGGGGGACAGTCAATCCGCAGTGCTAAAGGAGTCTTCTTCTGGGTGTTTGCTGATGGCACCTACAAAGTTACCAATGATCTTGGTCAGTACAATCTGTCTCTGCTCCAACCTTATATAAGATGTCCTACCATTAGTTAATGATTGAGTCCTTAAAAATGATCAATTTGTCTTTATTAATGGACTGTGTACCACAGGGTTTTGATGTTCCACTAGTTAAACCATTACTTACAAAGATCATGTGATACAAAGCTATCACATGATCCCGCTGTCTTAGCTAGTTCTAGGCTAGTCTTCAACCTTTTGAAAATTGGCCTAACATTAATATTAGATTTGTCAACTCTTTCTCAAATTTTTGAAAGAATAGTCCTAAAACAAGTAACTGATCATCTACAGAGGATTGATTTTATTAAAAATGATAATAATACATTTTATTTAAAAGGCACCTTTCAGAACACTCAAGGACACTGTACACAGCAGAATAATAAAAGTAACATAAAAGCATGCCGTTTACATAATCATAAAAACATAAGACATAAAACAAATCTAAAATTAGAAGAGTTTCAGTCAAATTTCACAACTTATCAAAGTACTGAAACAGCATTAGTTAAGGTTGCACATCATCTCAGTACAGCGTTCCATACTGTTGCCCATAATATTCTATTAGAGCAGTTAAAGCATGTCTTCCCTCTCTGAAACAGCAGGATGGGTGTTGGTGTCCCTGTTTTGTTGGTCAAAGCAGGCAAAAAACTGGTTTAGGGTGTCAGGTAAGGTGATGTCCGGGGAGTTTGTTTGTGTGCGACTGTCCTTGTAGCCAGTGAGTGTCTTGATCCCCTGCCACATGTTTCTGGAATTGTTTGTGTTAAAGTGTTCCTTGATGCACTGTTTGTATTTCCGCTTGGCTTCTTTTATGCCTTTAAGCAGAGATTGGCGTGCCTCTTTGTTGGTCTCCTGATCTGAAGGCACTGTCCCATGCTCTTAGTAGGGCTCGCACCTCACTGTTGAGACATGGCTTCTGGTTCGGGAACACTTTAACAGTCTTTGTTGTTGTTACACTCTCGCTACAGAAGTTGATGAATGAGAGTACAGCAAATGTGTGGCCCTCCAAGTCTGATCCTTCTGCAAATGCACTCCAATTCATCTTATCAAAACAGTCTTGTAGGGCCCTGGGGGCTTCCATGGTCTACACTTGTACTGTTTTTACAGATGGTTTTTGTCTTTGAGTTAGAGGTTTATAAGCAGGGATCAGGGACAGAGAGAGATGGTCTGAGAGTCCAAGATGAGGCAGTGGGGTGGCTTTGTAAGCATCTGGGATGTTGGTGTAGACCTGGTCAAGTGTGTTGTTTTCACTTGTTGGGAAGTTAAGGAGTCGTCTTCTTCATACAGTAAGGTTAATTATGGAGTTCCACAGGGCTCTATGCTTAGGCTAATTGTATGTACATTATGCTTGCTTTCTTTAGGAAGTGTCATTAGAAGGCATATCATACATTTTCAGTACTATAGAGATGATACCCTGCTTTATCTTTCCATGAAGCCAGATGACACACCAATATAGTTAAACTGCAGGAATGTCTAAAAGACATAACGAGTTGGATGACCTCTAATTTCCTGCTTCTGAATTCAGATAAAACTGAGGTTATTATAGTCGGCCACAAAAATCTTAGAAATATAGTATCTAACCAGAGGCTTACTCTGATTGGCAGTACCTTGGCCTCCAGTAACACTGTGTGGAATCTTGTAGTTGTTTCTGACCAGGGTATGTCCTTCAGTGTGCATATTAAACAAATATGTAGGACTACTTTCTTCCATTTGTGCAATATCTTTAAAATGAGAAATATCATGTCTCAGAGTGATGTTGAAATACAGGTTCATGCATGTATTACTTTTAGGCTGGAATACTGTAATTCATTATTATCAGGATGTCCTAAAAACTCCCTGAAAAGCCTTCAGATGATCCAAAATCCTGCAGCAAGAGTACTGACAGTACTGACAAAGCTCCTTGAGGCCACTGCTGTTAAGATTTGGCACTGTATAAATAAAACAGAATTGAATTGGTTCATCACACTTAACTCCAAACTGAAAACCAAAATCATCACTTGTAGTCTTTTATTTCGTAGACAGTTTCTCCATAATTTCCATAGTTGGACAGTTTGTTGTTGCTGTGCCTCTCATCACTGTTCTTTTGTCAACAGTTGGCGAGACTGTACTTGCAGAGGGACAGTCTGGTACTGAGGTACATAGCTGGTACACCTTGTCACTCACTGTAAAAGTAAGTAGACACTTTTTACTATTTCTAATGTTTCTTTATACTCTCACTTCTTCCACTGTTATGATGATTAAAGGAGTTTGTAATCCAATAAACCATGTTAGGACTTGGAGATTAGATCAACTCAGATTAGCTACTCTTATTATCAATAGTATTTTGAGTCAGCATCTAAATCACATGAGAGATTTAAGATGATGTATTAGCAAGACATAGCAAAAAATCTACCTTTTTCCAACTTGGATTTTATGTGGAAGTTTTTTGTTTTTTTAGGTGATTTGTAGATTTGTAGGTGTGTTAATACAGTATGTCAAAATCAAGAAATAACAGACGTCACACTTGAGGTTGTACTGAAAAAAGGCAAGGTAAACAGTTTGTGATCATATATGAAGACAAAATAAAAGTGAAGGATTATAACCTTGACGACACAGTTAACTGGGGCAGTAATCAGTCCTGCTTGCTGGTAGCTGTGCAGGAACAGTCCTTTGATGTACTGATGTAGGTTATTGTGTTGACACACTGTAACTGAACATTTCAGCAATATGCCTGTCTTGTCACAGCCACATTAATTTACGAATTAACCTATGAAAAGTCTATCTTGTTGCACGGATTTGAAAATGTAAAGATGTTTTTCTCTTTACTGTAGGGACAGTATGCATCAGGGTCACTGAATGGATACCCTCTGTGGAAGAATGCTGTGGTACTGACCCCAAAGGCTGGCTGGGCTGCCATAGGAACACGCTCATTTGAACTGGCCCAGTTTGATAACTTTGCTTTGGTGGCAGAGTGATGAATTAACTTTAAATCATGATTTACACTATGCTGAATGTCCTGATTCGTTTATGGACTTGATTAGTACTTTACAGCCGATAGCTTCAAGCATAATAATGATGTAGGTGGAAAATTTTGGGCGATGTATTGACAGAAATGGGTTATATTATTTAATTACCATGTAATTATGCATCACTGTGTTTTTGTTGGAATGATCCTGTCATATCAAACCTCAGTCCTGAACAGAAACTAATGTCTTTCTACAGCTCACAGCCAACAAAACACTGGTTTAAGACCTTTCTTTGAAGAGATGCCAAGACTTCAAGATAAGGCTGGAATTGTTTTGGGGCATAACTTGTAGTGAATCGTGTGTTTGTAGCACATCAGAATCCATCACACTTGTACAGGATGTGCCTTATAGCCTGGTGTTAGAATCAAATGACCATATTAGTATTTGGTGTTAGCCGTGTAGTTGGCTTGTCACTACCATAGGAGCATCCCTCAGTTTCCTCAATGGGCTCCACCCCTCATTTGTTGCATCTGTTTTCAAAACAGCTAAGTTTCAACACACCACACTTTTCGGAAATAATACTTAATGTCTTGGCGGTTGCCTCCATCTCCATCTTTTTATATACAGTGTATGTGGAGGAAAAAAATATACCATATGGCACTGAATCCTGGAACTTTGTTTGATGTGATTGTAAATGATTTTGTAGTTTGACTTTATATTGTGTTAACTGCTTTGAATAAATCAAATAGAAAGCCAACCACAAGTGTAGTGTAATCCGTGACTCCCCATTAATCATGTCATCTCCCTACTCCCATATAGCTAACTGCACAGTCACCAGGATAACCTAAGACGGCAACACAAGCACTACATTTTAATTTACATTCATAAAATCAGCTAAATTTAGGGTCCAATCCTGATTTATTTCCTGTGCTTTGAATACCCTAGTTGTCAAAAGTGGAATAACGCTGGGATTTGGTTTAGTCATTAGAATCTCCAGGTTAGGATTAGCGTTGTCATGAAGCTTTTCCTGAAGCTGCCTCCACTGAGTGAGCAACGGCGCCCTCGGAAGTTTGCGTGTGGAAGTGCAAAAGCTTACAGCACTTGGTATTCCCAGGCGGTCTCCCATCCAAGTACTGACCAGGCCCGACCCTGCTTAGCTTCCGAGATCAGACGAGATGGGGGGTGTTCAGGGTGGTATGGTCGAAAGCGAGGGAAGCCTGCTACAAAATACCTTTTCTACTCTGCAAATGTCACACAGTTTAAAATATAGTATTGTGCTAACCTTCACATGTTACAGCCCGTTATCGAGGAAGCCTCTCACTTACGGCCATACCACGCCTGTTCTCATCTGATCTCTGAATCTAAGTAGGGGCGGTCCTGCATAATAGCGTCACCTTCACCTTGCTGAGTGAGCAGCTGCGCCCTCTGCAGTTTGCATGTGGAAGTGCAAAAACTTCCAGCAACTTGTATTCCCAGGCAGTCTCCCATCCATATACTGACCAGGCCCGACCACGCTTAGCTTCCGAGGTCATACGCAATCGGGTGTATTCAGGGTGGTGTGGCCGTAAGCGAGTGAAAACCGCTATAAAAGACCTTTTATACTTGGCAAATGTAACACACTTTAAAACATAGTATTGTGCTAAGCTTCACATGTTACAACCTGTTATCGAGGAAGCCTCTCACTTACGGCCATACCACTCCTGTTCTCATCTGATCTCTGAAGTTAAGCAGGGGCGGTCCTGCATAGTAGCGTCACCTTCACCTTGCTGAGTGAGCAGCTGCGCCCTCTGCAGTTTGCGTGTGGAAGTGCAAAAGCTTCCAGCACCTGGTATTCCCAGGCGG